TTCTATGCCTACAGAATTTTTAACATCCCTTTCAGAATGAGTTTCTCCTGTAAACTGGTTTTTTAGTAGTCCATTTGAATTATGCTTTTAAATTAAAATAGAATTGTTTAAAATAAATAGTTGAGGGCTGGGGATATGACTCAGTATCATATCAGTGCCTGGTATGCCCAAGACTCTGGGTTCAATGCCCATACCAAAAAACAATAAATAAAATTAAATTTAAAAGTTGAAGCAAAGTCCTAGACTAAACCAACAAACACCGAAACCTGGTGGCATTCAGTTCTAATCTTCACTGTCTGTTCATTCTTGGCTGTTCACAGAGAAAAGGCGAAGAAGTGTGGAACTGATCCCTCTGACTGCCCGAATGGTGATGGCCCACCTGGTGAACCACCTGGGTCACTACCCTCTGAGCGGAGGCCCAGCTGTGCTGCATAGCCTTGTCAGTGAGAACCACGACAATGCCCACGTGGAAGGCACTGAGCTGTCTTCTGAGGTGTTCAGGAGCCCCAACCTGCAGCTGTTTGTATTTAATGACAGTACCCTCATTTCCTACCTTCAGACACCTGCAGAAGGACCTGGGGGTGCCCTCTCAGATGTGAGAGTTATTGTGAGGGATATATCAGGGAAGTACTCTTGGGATGGAAAAGTTTTATATGGACCTCTGGAGGGATGCTTAGCACCCAATGGAAGAAATCCCTTATTTCTAATTTCGGGCCACCATCATCACACATTTGGACCTCAGAAAGATCATTCCCAAATCGAAGAAGGAGATGATGTCCTTGACAAACTACTTGAAAACATTGGCCACACTAGTCCCGAATGCCTTTTACCATCACAGCTAAATCTAAATGAGCCCTCCCCACCCCCATATGGCATGAACCGTGAGCAAGAAAAGGAAATCATTGAGGTCATTTTGCGCCAGAGTGCACAGGAAGACGAATATGTTCAGAGGTGTAACTCTGATTCTTCAATGAAAGTTACCAGCCAAGGGCAACCCTCGCCAGTGGAGCCCCGAGGGCCTTTTTATTTCTGCAGGTTGTTACTCGATGATTTGGGAATGAATTCTTGGGATAGAAGGTAACAATACATGCTAGTCCTTAAATTATCTTTTTCAAATGATTTTTCTTTTTTTTTAATCAATTTAGGGTCAGGGAAGAAGAAAATAAAAATGGAGATTTTTTTTCACTATTTCAACATTATTTTGATAATGATAATAATTAAAAGTTATTTTGGCTGCTAACTTAAAGCCAGAAATGGAACTAATTATGCTGTACTAATGCACACATTGAATTCTAAATGCCTACTGAATGTTTTAGAGTTTGAAGTATTTCCTTTGTGTATATGTTTTATTTACTTACTTCTCTGGCCATTATCATTTCTACTTTAATGAAGATGTAAATGGCAAATACGCCTTAGATCTGATGAGGGAGGTGGGTGTGATGAAACTTTGATAAAGCATAGAGTGGCCCAGGAGTTCAAGAGGAATGATTTAGTCCAGTGGGAAGTATGGGACAGTGGAGAAGACCTCATGGAAGAGGATAGATTTGACTGGATCCCAATAGTGGAGTTCAGTTTTTAAAGAAATAAGTGTTGGGCTGGGGATGTGGCTCAAGCGGTAGCGCACTCGCCTGGTATG